GAAAACATATATATAATTACATATTGTTTTTGTGATTAATCACTATGCTTTAATTATGTTCAATTTGTAACAATGAAAATACATCCTGCATATCAGATATTTATATTACGATTCATAACAGTAGCAAAATTACAGTTATGAAGTAGCAACGAAAATAATTTTATGGTTGGGGGTCACCACAACATGAGGAACTGTTTTAAAGGGTCGCGGCATTAGGAAGGTTGAGAACCACTGGTATAGAGAAACAGACAACTGAACTTCTAACACTGGCTCTAACAGTGTAAAAATCACAATGTGAAGCAAGAAACAGCTAAATTATATGATTACCAGTGGAATTAACAGATTGCTAATATTTTAGGTTTAAAAACAGAACTGAAACAATTAACCAGCCAAGAGAAAAAGAAGATTCCTATAAATAGCATAAGATTTGAAAAACCAAAGATAAACTTTATACAAACATCAAAATAAATAACATTTCTAAGAGACAATTAACCTAATATATTTTTAATTTAAAGATTTAAATTTTTTTAGAGATATCCTAATATCTTAAAGTGTGAAAATTGTTAATGAAGTACACCAGGAATCCTCTTAGTGCTGGGCATTTGAACTTGCTATTTGTTGTCTGGAACTCTTTTTCAATTATTTGCATGGCCCACTTCTTTATTTGTCCCTAGCTCTCTGCTAAAATATCATATTTTGATAACTACCATATATTTTTTAAATTGATTGATTTGAGAGAGAAAGAGAAAAACATCGCTTTGTTGTTCCACTATGTATGCATTCTTTGGTTGATTCTTGTATGTGCCCTGAACAGGGATCAAACCTGCAACCTTGGTGTATTGGCACAATGCTCTAACCAACTGAGCTACTGGGCAGAGCTTCCTTACTAGGGTATTTTAAAGATTTTTATTTATTATTATTATTATTATATTATTATTTTTTGAGCAAGCATGTCAAACTTGTGGCCCATGGGCCACATGTGGCCCACAACAGAATATTTCTGCAGCCCAACCAATATAACGGTCTGTAAGAAATATTTTAATAAAAATTTTGTAACTTAATTTCTAATATCCTGTTATACATAATCTATGTATATAAAATCATAAGCAACTGGTCGACTGGTCACTATGATGTGCACTGACCACCAGAAGGCAGACTCTCAACACAGGAGCTGCCCCCGGTAGTCAATGCGCTGCCACAGCAGGAGTGCTGCTCAGCTGACTGATGGGCACCAGACACTGGGCTCACAGCTGGCGAGCCATTTGAGGTGGCGTGAGCCTCTCTTGTGGAAACTCCCCCTGTGCACCCCTCCCCCATTTGGACCAGGACCAGGACCAGGACCAGGATCGGACCGGCTGGGCGCGAGCCCATGGCCGCTTCCTGGTCATGGGCACGCCAGTATCATACTAGGATGGGCGCGCGGACACCACAGCGGAGTAGCGGCAAGCCTACAGAGTGGCGGTGGTGGCAGGCACAGTGGGGCCAGGATGAGCAAGAGAGCAGGCAGGAGCGGCAGGCGGTGTTGGACTGCTTGTTTTGGCCTGATCCCCGCAGGCCATGCCAAGGGACCCCCAACAGTGCATGAATCCGTGCACTGGGCCTCTAGTTATTAATAACGAATTACAACGTTTGCTAATGACTTATTACTATAATGTTGCATTCATTTCCTTATGCGCCTTACATACAGGTGTACCATTTCTCTCCACTAATACTAGCAGCGAATATTTTAGCAGCCGATTGCCCCATCATTAGCCTTAGACTGACTTGTTTGGTGGGCGCAACAGGAAATATTGTGCTTTCAGAGAACAAGAAAAATAGGTTTACTTGAGTTACATTTATTAATTTGTGCAGTTATTCAGTGTCTGGTAAGTTAATGTTCAAGAAAAAATATTAATTTTTATTAAAATATTCTATTATTTTATGTTAACTATGTCTCATTTATTTTAGCCCGTTGTATTCAGCATGTCTCTATCGAAATAAACCTACGTTTCTATGAAAATTGAAGCTTTTGTTTTTTTGTGGCCCACATAAACTTAAACCTTATTTATTTGGTCCATGTTAGCCTTTGAGTTTGACATGTTTGTTTTAGAGAGAGAGGGAGAGGGAAAGAGAAACATCGATGTGAGAGCAAAATGTCAATTGGCTACCTGCTATATGCCCCCTACTTGGAATCAAGCCCACAACCCAGCCATGTACCATGATCAGGAATCATTTTGGTGCACGGGACGATGCCCAACCGAGTCACATCGGTCAGGGCAATACAGTATTTTAAATAGCAATTCCTCAAACCCCCACCTACCCCTCACACACCACATTCACATCAACCATGCTGTTTCTCCTTAGCACTTAACATAAGCTGACATACTATACCAGAGGCCATGTGCATGAAATCGTGCACGGATGGGGTCTGGCCAGCTCACCCTGATTAGGCAGATCAGGGCCTGATGGCCAGGGGGAGGGGCTGTGGGAGGTTGGCTGGCCGGGCCCACCCCCATCGGGCCAGTTGGCTGGCCACAGTGCCTGTCATAGTGACCGGTCATTCCAGTCGCTTGGCTTTTATATATAGAGAGAGAGACTAGGGGCCCAGTGCACGAATTCATGCACCTCAAAAGGAACTGTGGGCTGTGAGGCTACAGTGGGCACAATAGCGGGTCTCGGCCCATCCTCCATGCCCCTGCCAGCCCCTCCCACCGCGGCCCTCGTTCCCCTGTCTGCCAGAAGCCCCACTCCCGCTGCCGCCATTCATACATGCTAATGGCATGGAGCGATTGGGGCTGGTGACAACAACGGTGCGAGCAGGGCTGGAACCGACAGTGGGTGCAAGTGGTGGCTGCTGCCCTGATTGCCCTTCAGGAGTAGGGGGAGGTGGAGAAGCCCTCAGAGGCATTTGGGGCCGGCAGCCACCACTCCCACCCGCTGATGGTGCCAAGCGATTGGGACCAGTGCCAGGCGCTGTCAGTGGGTGTAAGCGGCGGCTCCGGTGCTGGCAGTGGGTGCGAGCAGGGCCGTCACCAGCAGTGGGTATGACCTGTAGCTCCAGCACCAGTAGTGGGTGCAAGCGGCAGCTCTGGTGCCGGCAGTGGGTGTGAGCAGGGCCAGTGTCGGCAGCAGGTGTGAGCGCCGGTGGGTCCGCGGCACACGGGAGCAAAGAATTTTCAGTAACCACCAGAGGTTCACCCTGATTACAGTGACCAGTGCCCCACCTTGGTCTGGCATCCCCGCTCACCTGCTCCACCATCCCACCACGACCGACGCCCGCCATGTTCCGCACATGCTCCCTCATGGTCAGCGCATGTCATAGCGACCAGTTGTTCTGCCATTTGGTCTATTTGCCTATTAGCCTTTTATTATATAGGACTAGAGGCCTGGTGCATGAAATTTGTGCATTCGGAGGCATCTCTCAGCCCAACCTGCTCCCTCTCGCAATCCCGGAGTCCTTGGGGGATGTTCGACTGACAGCTTAGGCCCACTCCCCTAAGCCGTCAGTCTGATATCCTTAGTGCTGCCACGGAGGTGGGAGAGGCTCCCGCCACCACCACTGCGCTCGCCAGCTATGAGCCCAGGTCAGGGCTTCTGGCGGAGCAGCGCTCCCACTGTGCCACCAAGGGGCAGCTCCTGCATTGAGCGTCTGACCCCTGGTGGTCAGTGTGCGTCATAGCAACCGGTCTTTCCACTGTTCAGTCGATTTGCACATTATCCTCTTATCATCCTACCAGAGGCCCAATGCACAAAATTCATGCAAGAGTAGGCCTTCGCCCTCACAGGGTGTAGAGTAGGGCCGCCCTCGCAGCCCAGGCTTTGTCCAGAAAGTCGTCTGGACAGTCATTCCACTGTTCAGCCGTTTGGTCGATTTGCATATTACACTTTTATTATTATAGATATTGACCTGTTTACTTGTTTTTCAGCCTTCCCCACTAGAATGTACATTCCTTGAGTGCAAGAATTTTTTTCATTGCTGTTTCTCAGCATCTAGAAGAGTGCTTGACACAAAGTAGGCCCTCGCCCTGACCGGTTTGGCTCAGTGGATAGAGCGTCGGCCTGCAGACTGAGGGGTCCCAGGTTCGATTCCAATCAAGGGCATGTACCTTGGTTGTGGGCATATCCCCAGTAGGGGGTGTGCAGGAGGCAGCTGATCGATGTTTCTCTCTCATCAATGTTTCTAATTCTCTATCCCTCTCCTTTCCTCTCTGTAAAAAATCAATAAAATATATATTTTTTAAAAAACAACAAAGTAGGCCCTCAACAAATAATTTTTAAAAGAATAAATGTAGAAAGTATAACATTTTTATGAATATGAGTTTTTTACTTCTTCATAAACTAATATGGTAAGCATAACAATGAAATAGGAAGAAAAAGGTTTTCAGGCATTAGATTTCCTAACTGTAATAAAGAATACTAAATTTACCTTCAATCTTGGCAAATCTTTATTTGCTTGTTCAAGCTGAAATTTTAGTTCAATATTTTCAGATGACAACTTCAAGTTTTCCCTCTGAAGCTCCTGTTCTCTTTGCCAATGATCATCTGACTCTATTTCTGAAGTCTTCAGGAAAATACAGTTAGAAATACTTTTAAGGTTTAATAAATAAAACCTGCATAAGACATACTGAATCAGAAAACACAATGCTAAAATGGAACATTTTCCTCAAAAGAATATGGAGAGCTCTGGCGAAAACAACCAAAAATAAGTAAGAATATAAAATTTGCAGGAGAAAAGATCATATATTTTAATTAATATTGAAAGCAAAGTCAAGTATCACTTAACAGTGTCTACACATATAATGAATACTTCCATAAATACTCTCATAACAACTAAACTATAATGTTTTTATTTTCAGTCCAATAATAAAGTATGACTGTATTATACTCCACCTGCACCCCACTCCCAAATTCATATGCTGAAATCCTAACTCTCAGTACCTCAGGACCTTATTGGAGATAGGGCCTTTGCAGAGAAAATCAAGTTAAAATAAGGTCATTAGGTTGGGCCCTACTCCAATGACTAGCGTTCTTATACAAAAAGGAAATTTGCACTCAGACATATAACAAAGAATGACATGTGAAGACACAGGGAGAAGACTGCCATGTAACAGATAATGAGAGAGGGCTGGACAGATACTCCCTCACAGCCTGAAGAAGGAATTAACCCTGCTAATACCTTAATTTTGGATTTCTGGCTTCCAGAACTGTGAGAATGCATTCGTGTTATTTCAGCCATCACATCTGTGGTACTTTGTTATGGTAGCCATAGCAAACCAATACACACAAGCCTACAAAAATAAGTGCGTCAATTCCTTCCTCCTTCTGAAAGCTTTCCTCATTCCTTGAGCTGAAGCAATCACTCCCTCATCAGGAACACTGTATTTGCATTTCCCTTGGCATGAATCCACCTTGGGTTTTACTTATGTTCATTTTTAATCTCATTCTTAACCACAGGTTATTTGAAAGAGAAATCTGTGCTTGATTACTTTTTCTATAAAGTGGAAAGTCTCAAATTCTCAGTTACTTATGTAGTGGGGGAAAAAGGAACCATTATGAACCTGACAAAAGAACTGAGAATTAACTTTCATCCATTTTCTCTGAACATTTAAAGGTGTGACTTTAGTAAATGTTTTGAGAACTTAGGTGACTGAAACATCTTAGGTGGAAAGGATAAAGAAAAAAAAAAGAAATGCTATTTGACTTCAATTGGGAAAAAACTTGTCTTATTCCATATTGTGTAAACTGCCCAAAAGTAGTGTGTACACAAAAAGTTCATAAACTGTAGAGTTAGGCTGTTAGACCTGCACTGAAATTCTGTTCTGCATCTTTTTTTTATAAGTAATTCTTTTGTTTTAAACATATTTTGATTGATTACAGAGAGAGGAAGTGTTCTGCATCAATCACTAGAGATGATATTCTCTAAGCTTCCCATGTAAATCACCAATAATACTCTGCAAAGTATTGTGGATATTAAACGTAGATAGAGAGTCTAACACAACATAGATAGCAATACATGTAAATTCCCTTTTTTCATTATAAAAAAGTATCTTTATAATACGTGGAAAAAAAACCACTGAAGGAACTTGCTATGTATGTTAGAATGTCACACAGCATCACAACAAATTCTTATTGATATTATTCACTGTATGAAATTTTACTTGTATTGAGATTTTATAGCATGCTGTATTAGAAATTTCGAAGGCAAAACAAATACCTCTAAAGTGCCTTACTTTTGCTATTCTGTTACCTAATCTAATCATTTCAAGTGAGCACCAATGGTAAAACAGGGAGTACTAAAGTGATTTAGGAAATGCATAATCACTAATTTTGTAAGAACTAGTCAAATGTTAGTTTAAGGAGAAGTTTATTAATAATTAATATTTTTTACAAATCCTACACAACACTTTTTCATTTGTACTACATATGTATACTACTTGCTATAAGAAAACTAAGCTACCAAAGAAATAAAGGACTGCCTTGTACTCAAACCTGGGGCCCGCCATTTCCTGGCCGGACTGGTACGTCAGTCTCAGAGTTAGCCTCCCCAGCACACTGATCCACTGCAGCAGCAACTGTGGCAGGAGCCTGGTCCTCCCCGGGAGATTCTTCTGGGTCTGTGCAGCTGCTGTGACTGAGGTCTTCAGCTATGTGTTCCTTTCCTTTCCCATTCTTCACTAGTTCATTCTCTTCTTTGACTTTATATTCCTGCTTATTATTTTCACAACAGTCTTGATTAATTTTCTCAATTTCAGGATCTGGATCATTTTCTAAACTGGAGTTAAAATCTGCCAAGGTATCATCATTTAGCCTAAGTAGACCTGATTTATTGTTTGGCCTTGCCTCAGATATATTTAACTCAGTAGGATCTACAACATAGTCTGCTTTGTGTTTTCTCTTCTTACTATGATACTGTAGAGCAGTGGTTCTCAACCTTCCTAACGCCGGGACCCTTTAATACAGTTCCTCATGTTGTGGTGACCCCCAATTTCATTGTTACAAATTGAACATAATTAAAGCATAGTGATTAATCACTAAAACAATATGTAATTATATATGTGTTTTCCGATGGTCTTAGGCGACCCCTGTGAAAGGGTCATTCGACCCCCAAAGGGGTCGCGACCCACAGGTTGAGAACCACTGCTGTAGAGTATTTCTCGATTCCTGATGATATAAGTTGTCATTGGTATCTATTCCCTTCCCATTTTTATTTTTATTAAATATATTTTATTGATTTTTTACAGCGAGGAAGGGAGAGGGATAAAGAGTTAGAAACATTGATGAGAGAGGAACATCGATCAGCTGCCTCCTGCACACCCCCTACTGGGGATATGCCCACAACCAAGGTACATGCCCTTGACTAGAATCAAACCCGGGACCCTTCGGTCCTCAGGCCAACGCTCTATCTACTGAGCAAAACCAGTCAGGGCTCCTTTCCCATTTTTAATTCTGAGCACTCTTAGGGTTTTGTTGTTGTTGTTGTTCCTGTATAAAGTGTTCATTTTGTGAAAAATATTGTGCCTGTATTTATTAACACTGTTAGAAAGGGTAGAAAGAGTACTTGTGTTATGTAACAGATTCTGCTTCAGGCAGAAAGAGAAAAAACATGAAAAGAAAAGAAAAACAATAATAAAAGGGTACACACTGAGTGATTTAAAGTAAGATTCTAACAATTCTTCATTAATGAGTCTTTATAAAGAACACTAAAAACACTGTCACATGTTTGATGGATAATAATGCAATAACATATTTTCCTACTTTACTTAATTGCATAGTCTTGCCACAGCAAACTCATAACAACTACATTTAAAGTCTCTAGAAATCATTTGTAATGAAGTTATATAAGCATCATAAGAATCTTAAGTTTGCAGTTATTATATAAGAAGGATTAAAGAAGTTAATGTATATCAGTAACTACTAAAAATAAAAGTTGAATTCATTGTATTAATACATATTAAGCACAGAGATATGCTGGTTTTGCCCAGATAAAGGTAAAAATTGATTTTACTTCCAAAGTTGACCATTAAAAATATGAAAAGCAAAGCACTTACAGAAGGCCTAGAAGAGGTATCCTTTGAAGACTGTTTCTCCAAAGCATGAAGTTTTTCTTGGAGGTATCTGTTTTGTAAACGTAAATCTTCTATAACAGAATCTCGAGGAAGAGCGTGATGGGTCCTAAAAACAACAACCACAGTCTCTTTACTATCAAACTTCAACTTCTCACTGTGTTTTTTATATTAAACTATACAGGAGAGAATGAAAATATATAACATATTTATTTACACTGTACTTATTTTAAATACTAACTTATAAACTTTATAAAATTAAATTAGGACATGACTATTTACATTATAAAATGATCCTCAGATTAAATATGGCAGCAGAGTAGGTGGATGCTGCAGAGACATGTTCCCAGGAACAAGCTGGAATTACAACTGAAATATGGAAAGTCTCCCTGAATAATCAACGGAAAACTCATAGGAGAGAACCCTGATACCCAAGAACCAAAGATGGAGACTGCATAGAGACTGGTAGGAGGGGTGGAGGTGCAAAAGGGCTGGCCAGGCACCCACAGACATGAAGTCCCAGAGAGATATCTCAGCTGAGGGGGGGTGCCACTGAGAACTCTGGGATTTAATCTCCAAGCTGGGCTCCCCAGTAGATAGCACCAAATCTGAGGAGGGTACCCACACAATATCTAGCTGTGAAAAGTTGTAGGGTGCTATCTGCCAGGGAGTGGCAGCTGAAAGTTCGGGCACCCTCTTGAAGGACCAAAGCACAAAATTCCCTGTGGAGCCACCCACCTTGTCCTCTGGCGGAGGAGGGGGAAGTGGAGCTATGAGAGCAGAACCTAGGACTGAAGACTTTGGGGATAGAGCTCAGAAGGCAGATACCCCAAGTTTCCTGGGCTGAGTTATTCCTTCATGTAGCGGACAACATCTTTCCCACATAGATATTTGCCTTGCCTGGGGGGAAGACAGTCGACACACCCTATTGGAAAACACCTTGCCATGAGGCCACTTAAGAAATTAAAAGTTACAATTAGCCTCCAGGCAGAATCAACTGCCCCACCCTGTTGAAAAAACTCTCACTACACCTGTGGGTGATTGCCTGGGGGCAATTCAAGTCAGAATCCTATTAGTCTGTAAACCGAGGAGGTCTCTGGAGGCTTTGAGTCTTTGCCTGATCCAATTAGTCAGAAACAGCCTTTAACACTTCCTGCAATAGAGATTGAGAAGTGTAGAGGATCTACCTAATACATAGTCACAAACCCAAACAGACAACCAAAATGAGGAGACAAAGAAACATCCCCCAAATGAAAGAACTAGTGAATTCTTCAGAAGAACAGGTAAATGAAGCAGAGATAAGAAATTTATCTGAAACAGAGTTCAGAGTAATGATGGTAAAAATGTTAAAAAGTATGAAAAAAGATATAGTAACTATGAAAAAAAAACAGTCTGAGATAAAGAATGACATAACACAAATAAAGAACACATTGGAAGGAATATACAGCAGAATGGGGGAAGCTGAGGATCAAACCAGTGAATTAGAAGACAGAATTGAAAATGTGACTTAATCAAAGAACTAAAATGAAAAAGCAATTAAAAAAACAGGAGGACAGCTTAAGGGAGCTGTAGGACAACGTGAAACATACCAATATTAGACTAGCAGGTGTGCCAGGAGGGACAGAAAGGGAGAAAGGAATAGAGAAGGTGTTTGAAGAAATAAGGTAGAAAACTTTCCTAACCTGGTAAAGGAAAAAGTCATAAAAGTTCAGGAGGCACAGAGAACCCTAAACAAGAAGAACCCAAACAGATCCCAGCCCAGACACATCATAATTAAAATGCCAAAAATTAAAGACAAAGAGAGAATCTCAAAGGCAGCAAGAGAAAAGAAAACTGTTACCTACAAAGGAGTTCCCATAAGGCTGACACCTGATTTCTCATCAGAAACTCTATAGGCCAGAATCCCAAAAAAAAAAAAAAAAAAAGGCTAAAGGAATTCATCACCACCAAGCCAGCATTACAAGAAATTCTAAAGGTATTGCTGTAAGGGATTGCTGAGAAGAAGAAACAGAGAGAGAAAACCTAGCCATACAGAATTAAAATGGCTATAAATAAGTTCCTCTCAATAATAACCCTAAATGTAAATGGATCAAATGCTCCAATCAGGGTAACTGAATGGATACAAAAACATGATCCAACTATATGCTGTCTACAAGAGACCCACCTCAAAACAAAAGACACACACTGGATGAAAGTGAAGGGCTAGAAAAATTTTTTCCATGCAAATGGAAAAGAAAAAAAAGCTGGAGTAGCAATACTCATATCTAACAAAATAGACTTTAAAATTAAGGCCATCACAAGAGACAACAAAAGTCACTACATAATCCTAAAGGGATTGATCCAACAAGAGAATATAACCCTGGTAAACATATATGTACCCAATATAGGTGCACCTAAATATATAAAAAAAACTTCTAGAGGGCTTTAGTGAAGAGATTGATAACAATACAGTCACAGTAGGGGACTTTAACACCCCTCTGACTTCACTGGACAAATCTTCCAGACCAAAACTCTAAAGGACAGATGGATTTAATAGACATTTATAGAACATTTCACCCCAACGCAACAGAATATACATTCTTCTCAAGTGCACATGGATCATTCACAAAGATAGACCACATGTTAGGACAAAGGATAGACCACAAAAAATCTTTTCCAAATATTTCAGCCCACACAGATTCACATCATTAAGGAAAAAAAGAGCAATTAAACCTCTAAAGTATTTGAAGTTTTCAATCTTAAATATTTTGATTCCTGTAAAAACCGAATAGGAGAATAAAAGAATTTAGTTTTGCTCTGAATATATAGTTTGACTAAGAAAAAAAATAAGAGGGAAGAAGCCACTGCCAAGACCAGATAGTAACTATAAATAGGTGTCAAAGGAAAGAAGAATTCTTCAATCACATTTCCTTTCTCCATCAAGTGAAATTCTGAAGGATTAAGGAAACAATGACTTAACAGTGGTTCTCAACCTTCCTAATGCTGCAACCCTTTAATATAGTTCCTCATGTTGTGGTGACCCCCAACCATAAAACTATTTTCGTTGCTATTTCATAACTGTAATTTTGCTACTGTTATGAATCATAATGTAAATATCTAATATGCGGGATGTATTTTCATTGTTCGAGACCCACAGGTTGAGAACTGCTGACTTAGAAGAAAAGCAGATGGTATGTAAGTTAGAAGCTCATGAGTATTCCTATAAAGGAGTTCAACTTCACATGCTCACGCTACATTAATACTGACACAACAGGACATGTTAATAAAGAAACACTAATGGTAATTTTTGAAGATTAATAGGAAGAAAAAAAAACTAGAATAAATTGAAGAATGGTAAGTATCCTCATATCCAAATATTATAGGTAGGTACCCAACTTTACAATGATCATTTAACATGATTCCAGATCATTTATAAACACCTTGAAGAGGAAGAAATGAATTAGGTAAAGCGAATCTACCTTCATCTTGGAAGAAAAGAGTGAAACAGAAATCTATAAATGGTTTTAACTGCTGTTGTTAGGATATGATTTTATTTTTCTTTGCACTACCAAGACAAAGCTTGGAAAGAGACAGCAAACCAGGAAAATCTCAAAGTATTTACTAAAAAGTGGCCTTCAGGGTTCTGGTTCTAGGTAAAGTAGAGTAAACACACCCAATCTTGTCTCCCAAATGCATGGAGCATCTACTTAAGAACTTGAAAAGTTAAATAGTTTACAGATTGGGACAAAATTCCAGACTTTGAAGTATTAGCAAACAGGTGATGAATTTATGTTTTCTTTTCCTCTGATATTTACTAGCTCAAACACATTACTTGAAACATTAAAGTGAGTATTAACACTGAGGGAGAGTGTTCTGGGGAAGCCTTCAAGTTCTAGCGCAAAGAGTACATGAATCCCTCATTCTTTCTTTCTTCTGTCTGGTCTTTCATGCCTCAACCCTCAAGCAATACCATAGGCAGTGGTGGCAGAGACAGCAATGGGAATCCAGAGGTGGCAAAATTTTATGGAGGGAAATCATTTCCTCCAATTAGCTGTGATTGGTAAGGTGGTAGGAAGAAAGTAGTTCCCCCACCTACCCTCACCTACTTCCGGCCCTTCTGTTGTTTGCCTGGCTGCAAATGTACACAATTGCTGAAGTACACAGGATAACAGGGTAACTAAAGTGCTAGTTTGGTTGAAAGTACCTAAAGGGGCTGTAGGGAAACAGAAAGGGAGGAGCTTCAACAATTATAAAGTTGTTTATGAATTTCTGGGCTCACCCTTGAGCTGTACATGCATGGATCTGATCCTATTGTGAACACTGAAGACTCTGAGGACTGAACTAACAGAGAGAAGACACGTACCAGAGGTGTCAACTGGGAGGTACACAGGCAGGACAGATGCCAATAGCACTGATAATGGAATCAGAGCCCACAGAAAGCAGGTGGGAATTTTGGGCCTGAACCTATCCAGACCAACTACCTGCTATGTAGCTATTTTTATTATAATAGAATTTTCCATAGCATTTAACCAAAATCCAGTGTCCTATAATACATTATTCAAAATTTCAAGAATACAATTCAAAATTACATGGCATATAAAAAAGGAATATCTCAACTCAGAAAAGCCATCAACAGAACCCAACTTTAAAATACATAACATGTTTACTAGTATTTTATCAGTTTCTATGGGTCAACCAGTTTCCTTCATTATAATGAACTAGAGGCCTGGCGCACAAAATTCATGTGCGGGTATGGTCCCTAGGCCTGGCCTGTGACCAGGGACATCTTCCCCAGCTGCCCACAGCTGGCCCCGCCCCCCGCCACCACCCAACCCTGGTTCGCTGTTCACCATCAGGCGATTGGAGCCTGCTGGCAGGGGAAAGGAACCAAGAGGTGGTCAGTGCACCTCATAGTGACTGGTCCAGCGGTTGTTCTGTCATTAGGGTCAATTTGCAAATTACACTTTTATTATATAGGATAGAGACCTGGTGCATGGATGGGGCCCAGCTGGCCTGCCCTGAAAGGGGCCCCGGATTGGGGTGGAAGTCCATGCTGGGGACAGGGTCGGCCTGGGTGAGGGTCTGCAGGCAGTTTGCAGGCTGGCCATGCTCCTGATCAGGGTGGGGGTCCCCACTGAGGGGCGGGGTCTGCCTGGGCGAGGGTCTGCTAGTGGTTTGCAGGTTGGCCATGCCCCTGATCAGAGTGGCAGTCCCAGCTGGGGGCGGGGCTAGCCTGGGCAAGGGGCCGCGGGCAGTTTTCAGGCCTGCCATGCCCTCAGCTTTGCCAGGAGGGATGTCCGGAATGACGTCTGGAAGACATCCAGTCTATCTAATTAGCATATTACCCTTTTATTAGTATAGATAGCACATTTCCAAGTAATAGTGTACCTCATATATGATATCTCATTTTCTAAGTCAAGATTTCTCTTTTTTAATTCTTCCAACTTTTTTTCTGACTCCAAAGCTTGCACTCCCATAACTTGATTAACAGTCATACCAGTTGTTTTTAGTTTCCTCTGCAAAGTTAGTTTCTCTTTATCAACTCTGTGGGATTAAATAAGAAACATGAAAATATACCATCCACTGTGTGGCTTGTTCAATTTATTGAACTGTAGCTTACTCATTATAAGACCAATATACAAAAATCAGATTGTTCTGCATTTCCTAGGAGCTAACTTATTTTCAAATTATAGGAAACCCCATTTATAAGTTGTTAAAATACATTCAAAACACATTTTAAAGAAAGAAAATAAAAAATCATAGATAATAATTCATAATTAAAATTAGAGAATTTCTTATATTATCAAGAACAATAAAACTATATAACTTCCAGATCAATTAAAGACTTTACACATAATTAATTAGGTTTACTTTACACTCACTTGGCAAAAAGATCCTTCACAGTATTCAATTGCTTTGTTAAAATATAGATTTCCCCTTCTTTCTCTTTTAACTTGTTTCGCATTCCCTCTATTTTGCTTTGCCATTTTTTACCTTCTTCCCACTTAATTAATTCTTCTCTAGCACTCTATAAACAATAATAAAGGAGGAAGAAAATTACCAATATTGTTTTCAATTTTAAGAGTTATCAGTTAAAACTTACTAGAACAATGGTAAAATAATTCTTCTTAGAAAGTAAGTAAATAGGTTCTAACTTCTACAATTGTTAGACATGCCAAGCTATTGGCTAAAATGACCTTCAGTTTAAGTAGCCTGTATTTTATAACTTGACAATTACAATTCTGGAGAACAGTTTGAACTAATGATAACACCCTTACGGAGTCTTTACGAAGATTTTTAATATAGACAATCATGACTACAGTAAGCTTGGATCAAAGAATCTATATGTGTAGATGATCAACCCAATTCTGTCACCCCATAGCAATGTCCTAGCATCATGGCCCCTTCAAATCTTCAATGAACATTACTTTTCTAATTCAACAAATTATTTATTTAGTGCTAGATATGTACCAAGTACTACCTAAGAATAGAAGCAATGAATAAATCTAACAAAAAAATCTATCTTCATGAATATTAGTGTCCAGTTTATGTTGGTTGAGTGTATGGATTAGGGAAATGGAGCAAAATATAGAAAAAAACAAACAAACAAAAAAACAAGAAAAGAAAAATTGTAGTTATGTTAGTGTGATAAGTGCTAAAATGGCTGGGGGACAGGGAAGGAATTAGGGCCTTTTAGGGATAGGTGTCATGGCTTGTGATAATTAAGATAAAGTGTCCAAGAAAAGAGCAAAACAGTCCATGTACTGCACAAGTTTCAGATGTCCTACTGGGCACTCATATAGTTAAAAATATTGTTCACAACTATCTGAGCTAAGAACTTATATCTTCATTCTACCAAGCAATTTTTAATTATTTTACTATGTAATAAACTTTCTAGGAATGCCAACAGCCTTATAAAAGGAAAATCTGTACATATAATTTTGCTAAAAACTGTACCAACAATTGTGTATCATTTTAGAAATGAGATTATAAATGGAAATGCCACTGTGACATATGAGCTGCCAATAGAATATATTGGACTAGTATTAGTCTGCATTCATAGCTCTGAATTCACATTAACACAACCTAGAGGTGCAAGACTACCTCATTATGACTTTAAGGGTAGTCAGGCCAGAGCATTTACATTTGCTAAAATATGAAAAATATATAAATATACTATTTTCATAATTTTTCTTTTATGCTTTTCCTTTATCTTTTATTTAGGACATTTATAATGATAAATTTGAAATTAAGCATGTAGGTACTAGTTTATATTAACAAGGACTTTCATTTGGAATAGTAAAGAAGACATTATGAAACACTGCATTTACTATAAAAAAAGAATGTTGGGGTTGAAAGGGTTAACAACCATAACTTTAAGTCAAACACCCAGTTGAAGGTCAAATGCCCAACTAACAGAAGTTGCCCAGCTGGTGTGGCTCAGTGATTGACCGTCAATCCATGAATCAAGAGGTTGCTGGGTCGATTCCCAGCCAGGGTACATGCCCTGGTTGTGGGCTGGATCCCAGTAGGGGGGCATGCAAAGGCAGCCAATCAATGATGTTTCTCTCTCATCAATGTTTTTATCTCTCCCTTCCTTTCGCTCTAAAAATTAATAAAAAACATTTTTAAAAAGTTGCCCTCTCAAAACTAACCTTTCTCATACTGGCTAAGTTTTTAATCTCTTTTATTTAGTTCGGCTAAAAATTATCCTTTAAAAAAATGTAAAAACATCACTAAGTGTTTGATAGTCATTAACTTTTTTTCCCCCCTGAAATATAACCAGGAATTTTGTGTACCTCCAGAAATATAAATATTAGTTGGGGGCATAACGTATGTAGGTAAATTTTTCTGCATCATATATTGCTTTGTAGGGATTGAGTAATTCTATTCCATCTGACATTACCCTCTTAAGTAAGATTTAGGAAAGAAAATAATTTAAAAATGAACAATAACAACAATAAAAACAACAAAGGCAAATGTCACCAAGGGTCTGTTCTAGACTGGGGAAGAGAAGGCAAGAAGAGAGGATGGAGAGAGAAGTAATCTTTTCATATTTTCTGTTCCAACAGCTTCTTACATGTTGATTTCAGAATAATGTTATTGCATTTAAATTTTTTCATTCATCCATCAAATACTGAGCATCTACTATGTGTCAGGGACTCTTCTAGGTTCTAAGGAGACAACAATAAACCAAACAGGCCACTTCTTGCCATCAAAGCTTACAGACCAAAAGATGAACACATAGCTAAGGAAATCTCTAGTCTGTCAGATAGTAATAAGTCCTATGGAGAAAAGTAAAGTATCATAAGAAAAATAGGACTGCAAGGCATCAGGGTGGGTTTTTTAAAATACAGACAGGCTACAAACACTGTTTACAGAGGAAAAGGTGTTGAAATTTGTTTTTATACTCAATGAAAGGATTCTTTGAGTATAAAAACATTCATGAATTAGGAATGCCCAGCACTGTGTAATCTGAAAGAACATTCTTACTAGACTCCTAGCTATAAATTTTACTATTAGTGTAACTTTCTGTGTTCTCTTTCTATTTCTAGTTAGTAATAACGTCGTACACTGGGATGAACTCGATGGCTTACATAAAACTTTCACAAATTATTTCACTGTCAAAATAATCTTGAGAAATTGGTAATAGAAATAGTATTATCTAATTTAAGGAGTAATAAGCTGAAACAGAGATTAGGAGTCCAGGGAAAGCCACAAGGCTATTGAGGTATTCTGATGGCAATCAGATTAGGAACTGGTATCCAAGGATTATTTAAACCTTTTCCCCAGGTAGGAGAGAGCAAAGAGAGCAATCTAGAAGGGTAAAGACATTTTGATCTTCCAGTTTTCACCAATAAAGCTTCTGACAGCAAGTATGTTGTGGTTCCATGTATATAAATGCAAGCATTTTCATCAAAATTATACTGACATTGGTCAATTTTGATACTTTTTGTAATATACTCTGTTAAAACATTTAGTACCATTACCTATTTTCTATACAGTCATTAAAAGATGTAGTTTTCATGTTATGAAAATTTATTTTATAGATATTGAATATTTTCTGGGTAAATTTTTCCTAACCATAGTTCCTCCACTGTGATTTTCTTCAGGGGCAAACATTACCACTAGAGGCCTGGTGCACGAAAATTCATGCACTCGGGGGGAGGGGAGGTCCCTCAGCCCAGCCTGTGCACTCTCGCAGTCCGGGACCCCTCAGGTGATGTCCACCTGTCAACTTAGGCCTGCTCCCCAGGGGATCGGGACTAAGCTGGCAGTCAGACATCCCTCTGGCAGCCCGGGAGCTCTCGGGGGGATGTTTGACTGTGGCTTAGGCCTGCTCCCCTAAGCCGCAGTCAGACATCCTTAGTGCTGCCTGGGAGGCGGGAGAGGCTCCCACCACTGCCACCGCCATTGTGCTTGCAGCCGTCAGCCCACCTGTGGCTGAGCGGAGCACCCACTGTGGGAGTACACTGACCACCAGGGGGCAGCTCCTGCACTGAGCATCTGCCCCCTGGTGGTCAGTGTGCATCATAGTGACTGGTGGTTCCCCCATTAGGGTCAATTTGCATATTACCCTTTTATTATATAGGACTAGAGGGCTGGTGCACGAAATTCGTGGACTGGGGGGTGGGGTTCCCTCAGCCCAGCCTGCCCCTCTCACAGTCCGGGAGCCCTCAGTGGATGTCCTACTGAAGGCCACAGTCTGGCAGCAGAGGCTCAGAGCAGGCGTCCCGTGTGTGTGTGTGTGTGTGTGTGTGTGTGTGTGTGTCTGCTGGGACACACACACACGGCATTGGAGGGAAGTGCAGTGGGAAGGCAGCCCCCAGGTGGGCATGCTCCTGGGTCGCAATGGCGATCCCAGAGCAGAAAAGCGTGGCCTGCAGGCAGCCCCCAGGCTCAGAGTAGGCGCTGTGTGTGTGTGTCCGCTGGGGGCCTGCCGCCAGCTGCGTAGGAGGCTCAGATCAGTCGCTCCATGTGTGTGTGTGTGTGTGTGTGTGTGTCTCTGCTGGGGGTCTGCCCCCAGCCACACCGTGGAGGCTTGGAGCAGGTGCCCCTCTGTGTTGATCTCTCAGGCTCCTGGCCTCCACTGCATGTTGTTCTCTCCCTTGAGGTGTGGCCAGGGTGGGGTGCTGCCTGCAGGCTGTGCTTTTCTGCTCTGGGATTGACCCAGGAGCAGGCCCATTTGGGGGCTGCCTGCCCTTTGCACTTTCCTGCTCTCGGATAGCCATGTTGACCCAGGAGCATGCTCACCTGGGTGCTGCCTGCAGGCCGCACTTTCCTGCTTGCGTATCACCATGGGTTCCCGGCTTGCAGCGGGGCTTAGCAGGGCTTAGGCAGAACACGGGGGTCCCGGCTGGTGGCGAGGCTTAGGCTGCGTGGGGCTTAGGCAGCACATGGGGGTCCTGGCTGGGGTCGGGGCTTAAGCGGCACATGGGGGTCCCGGCTGGGGGCGGGGCTTAGGCAGCACACGGGTGTCCCAGTCGGGGGCGGGCTTAGACAGCACACGGGGGTCCTGGCTGGGGGCGGGGCTTAGGCAGTGTGGGGCTTAGGCAGCACACGGAGGTCCCAGCTGGGGGCGGGGCTTAGGCGGCACACAGGGCCCAGATGGCGGCTCACACTGTCCCACCCTACCTGCAGTATGCAAATTAGCCGTCATCTTTGTTGGTTAATTTGCATATCAGGCTGATTAGCCAATGGGAGGTGTAGCGAAGGTGTGGTCAATTACCATCTTTGTCTATTATTAGATAGGATAGTTTACTTAAATTGTATGAAAATTTTAAGCAATTTTTCTCACATTATAGAATCAATTTAAGAGTGGGTTGGTTACTTTAATATTGCTGTAAATACTGACTATATTCCGAGTCACATTGTTTACCCTGAAATAACAGTGCTGCCTATTGAAGGATAAAAGGACACATTTGGGTCAAGGTAGAAGAGAAAAATGCCCAGCTTTTCCCCCAAAGGTCAAATCACCAAATGTCAACAACTACATTGGGAGAAGTGATAAATAAATAAGCAAAATTTGCAGAGATTTTTGGATGTCAGGAAGATGACATAGACATGATGTAGTAATTTCCAAGTAAGGGTGACATTATAGGGGTCTCCTCAAGTACACTTGTCTTAGACTTCTCTACATTATTCAGTATCACTTAAAATATGTATTAGGTCCTCAAATTAATATAGTATATTAGCTATTCATCAATTACTTATTTAACTTAGTCTTGTACCACCTTAAGTATATCAGTATGTATCTCCACATACCTTTTCTTTCATAGGCTTTATTTCTACCTCATCCACTTTTCTTTCTAGTTGGCTTTCTAGCTTTTTAATTCTCTTTTGGAGTTCTTCAATTAAACTTTGTTTATTATCTATCAGAGTTTTACCCTGAAAAATAATATGCATTTTAACATTTCATAAGTAAAAATGTATCAAACAAAATACACACCAAATATTCCAACTACAGAAATTTTCTGAGACTATAGTTTACCAAACATTCTAAATGACACTACTGATATATAACATGGTAATTGTTTCTGCATTTCAATAGATATACTTCTTTAAAATTATAAATACAGTGGAGATCACTGAAGGAATTAGCTAAATTAATTAAGGGGACATGCAAGCTGGTAGTTCCAGGGAATATATGTGAAATTAAAAAGTGGGAATGAACTGCTACCTACATATAAATCAAAGATATTATCACAATATAAAATTACCTGTAATCCACTGGTTAGTCTTTTTATTTGACTTTTCAGTTCATCATTCTCTTGTTCAATTTCATCTTTTTCTCTAAGCACTTTATTATAGGCTTTTTGTTTTTTTTGTAGTTCATTAGTTAAGTCATTCAAATTATCAGTTAGTGAACTTTCTTTGTTTTTACTTGTTTTAAGAGCTTCTTTCAATGTTAAAAGATTTTCACTTAAATCTTCAATTTGTGACTAATATATAAAATAAAGAAAAATTTAATTCATGAATCTTCACCAAATATTAATGATGAAAGCAATATAATATGAAATTACACCATTAAGACTTAAGAAAAAAGTTTTTAATCTAAAAGTTTAAATATAATGGAAAAAAACAACCACAAACTATATATATTCTTCCATCTTCATTACAATTAATCAAGTATACTTTGAGAAAAAAATATAAAACAAAACATGAAGAAACAATCTAAAGCAATTCATCTTCAACAAATACCCAGGGCCAAAATTTTATCTAATAAGGATAAGTAAATGTTTCATTGTGGCTGAACTAATTTATTAAAGAAACAAGTACAATGTAGAATGCATACAGCAGTGTTTTAAACACTATGAAACTTCAGAGTAGTATAAATGAAACCTCTGACTTGAATTAATTTCTAATTTACTTTGTAAAGACAAGACATAAAAGGGTAACTGGCAATACTAGACAATATGCTTAAGAAAGTATACATAGGAAGGAGGTCTTAGCTGTCCTATATATTAACAGTGATGGAAATACTGGTACTTAAAATATATTTTGTTGAGCCTGGCCAGCATGGTTCAGTGGTTGAGCATTGACCTATGAGCCAGGAGGTCATAATTCAATTCCCTGTCAGGGCACATGCCTGGGTTGTGGGCTTGATCCCCAGTGGGGGGCATGCAGGAGGCAGTCAATGATTCTCTCTCATCAATGATGTTTCTATCTCTCTCTCCTTCTCCCTTCCTCTCTGAAATCCTACATAATAAAAGGCTAATATGCAAATAGACCAAACAGCGGAACAACCGAACAACCAGTCACTATGATGTGCGCTGACTACCAGGGGGCACATGTGGAACATGGTGGGTGTCGGCTGCAGTGGATGGTGTAGCAGGTGAGCAGGGGCACCAGACCAAGGCAGGGGGCCGGTGGCTGTCATCAGGGCGAGCCTCTGGTCGCTACTGAAAATTCTTTGCTCCCACATGCCACAGTCCCGCTGGACACTCACACCTGCTGCCGGCACCTGGCGTGGGCCCCAATCACTCGGCGCCGTCAGCAAGTGCAAGCAGCGGCTGTAGGCCCTGATTGCCCCTGAGGGCTTCTCCACCTCTCCCTGCTCCTGAGGGGCGATCAGGGCTGGCAGCTGCCGCTTGCATCTGCTGATGGCACTGGTCCCACTTGCACACGTTGCTGCCGCCAGCCCCAATTGCTCCGCATCATCAGCAGGTGCGAGTGAGGCTGGCGCTGTCTGCATGTGGGAGCGGCAGCGGTGGGAGCAGGGCTGCCAGCAGACAGGAGACCGGGGCCATGTTGGGAGGGGCGGGGCGGGGGCGCAGAGGATGGGCCGAGACCCGCCCCATGCCCACCGCAGCCTCGCGGCCCACAGTTCCTTTCGAGGTGCACAAATTTGTGCACTGGGCCCCTAGTCAATAATATATTAAAAATTTATTTTAAAAAGTCTGAGTAAAATCTAATCATTATACAGTTTAATGGTAGTGAAGTGCATATACATATAAACAAAGAGCAAGTCAAAATTATAAACAAAAACAACATATAAAAAGATTTTTCATTTTACTTAGAATATAGTATATAAACTTGTGTAAAGAAATTTAAAAATCATTATGAAATATATATATTTTGGGGGGGAAAAAGTTTAAACTACCAAACCTAACAGTCAGGTAATAAAATAATAAAATACATTGCCCAAAAATAATAATTTCAAAAATAGTTTTCAGAGCCAAGTAGCTCTATAGATTAAAAGTCAAGAACTACATGATTCTCATAAACTATTTCAGGGGGAAAAAAAGGAAAGCTAATTAACTCATAAACTAGCAAAAACCAGATAGAAAATTCTGATATGGCAAAAGAAAGAAAAAAAATCTACACAATAAAAATCATATGTAAATGTTTCTTAAATTTAATTCTATTAGGAAGAGTAGCTTCTATTTTGCTAATTCCTATATTAGCCTATATTTTGCTAATTCCAAGATGATAACCAGTATATAAGTATAATAAAGATACTTATTATTAACAAAAAAAGGTGGATTCTCTTCTAATGGAATTATCAGGATTTTTTTTTATATTAATAAATGTGTTGGTGTTCACCTTTAGCTCTTTGGTATGTCGATCAACAATCTGTTGAACATTGAGATTCGCCTCTTTCTGAGAGGTTGCAGAAATAATACGTTCTTCAGCCGCTGCTGTCATTTCTGCTCTGAGTTCCAAAAGTGCTCGACTAAGTGCCTAAAAATTATAACAGATATATCACTTTTTTTTTGAAAATGTGATATTTTATATGAGCAATATATAATACTAAATATAAGTAGGCTTTATTACTTTCAACTATTTTCCTAAAATGCCGTATGTTTAAGCAAGCATAATCACAAACTAATAACTCAACTTTTTCAAATAAATTTCCTTTAGTAACTGAATTCAATTATTTTAAAATTGAGTATGAGAGTTCAAAATCTTGACATTAATAAGTTTGGGAATATAGCATTAAATCAGGAAACTTTTATTATAAAAACCAGGTATGTTTTGGTTTCAAATATCCAAATTTAGGTATTTATCCAAATTACTCAAGACATACTTCCATGTGAAATTAATTGAATTTAAGTACATTAGGAAAGTTACAAGATTAAAAAAGGGCTTAGAATTTGCCAATAAATTTCTTGAGCTAGCACAGAAAAACAACAGTAACTTCTAAGACATTTGAGTATATCAAATCTGATAAATTAAAAAACTAATAAATCAGATAATCCAGTGACCAACTTCTTTTCATAAAAGTATCTCTGTAACCTTCTTCTTTAGCCTTTCTTATTCACTGTCATATTCCCCAACTAATCCCCAAATTTTTCAAAATTGTTCAGTTATTCAAATTGTTCAAAATAGCCTCACAGTAGCATAAAATCCCAGTAGAAAAGGAAAGGAAATAATGGAGTAAGATCTTCTCTTATTTTCTACAGATAACCCACAAATCAGGCTGTTTAAAACAATTATCTTAAAAAACCCTACTTCACAGCATAAAATGAGGCTCAAACTCTTTCCTACAACAGAGAGAGAGAGATAACATGATCTCTTACAACTCTACTCTAAAAGCAATCTACCACATGTATTTCCTGAATGTTGACAATGTTCTGTTGTTACTTACTTTTTGTTGTTTCTCTTTAAGGGATAATTGGCTCTTTAACCTTTCCACTAGATTTTTCATTGTCCTTGTTGGAGCTCTTGAATTTGCTTCTTTTTGAGCCTGAAGTTCAGATTTTAAACTCTGTAACTCATTTTGGGACTGGGCCAGAAGGCACCTTAAATCCTCTACTTGTGCTTTCACTTTTTTCACTTCAGCTGCATGATTTTCTTGGAGCCTAATATCAGCAAACATATGTATTCAGTAAAGTGGTTGCTGCAATTAACACTTTGATTGACAACACTTTTATTTTATATAAAAGCAAATGTTTGTCCTAAATATTCTTACAACCTAATCTTTTTTAAAAAAATATATTTTATTGATTTTTCACAAAGAGGAAGGAAGAGAGACAAAGAGTTAGAAACATCGACGATAGAGAAACATCCATTAGCCACCTCCTGCACACTCCCCACTGGGGATGTGCCTGCAACCAAGGCACATGCCCCCGACCGGAATCGAACCTGGGACCCTTGAGTCCGTAGGCTGACGCTCTATCCACTGAGCCAAACCGGTCAGGGCACAACCTAATCTTTTAAAAAAATATGTATTTTTATTGATTTCAGAGAGGAAGGAAAGGGAGAGATAGAAACATCAATGATAAGAGAGAATCATTGATCGGCTGCCTTCTGCAAACCCCCCACTGGGTATCCAGCCTGCAACCCAGGCATGTGCCCTTGACTGGAATCGAACCTGGGACCCTTCAGTCCGCAGGCGGATGCTCTATCCACTGAGCCAAACCGGCTAGGGCATTACAACCTATTCTTAATTCAAATCTCAAATAAATACAATTTTTAAAATTGCTTTAAAATATTTTTTATTGATTTCAGAGAATAAGAGAGAAATAGAAAGAAAGAAAGAACATAAGAAAGAAACAAACAAACAAACATCAATGATGAGAGAGAATCATTGATCGGCTGCCCCCTTACGTCCCTCCCTGGGGATCAGGAGATCGAGCCCACACACGGGCATGTGCCCTGATCAAAAATCGAACTGTGACCTCCTGGTTGGCACTCAACTGGGGCCAAATAAATACAATTCTTTATTCCACTTGACCACTCTTAAACTTAACATACTTTTTCTTTCTAGTTTCTGTCTACTATTTTTGGTTATGATTGCATCAAGCAATTTTGTGGCTCTAGAGACCAATGGTTCTCAACCTTCCTAATGTCGCGACCCTTTAATACAGTTCCTCATGTTGTGGTGACCCTCAATTTCATTGTTACAAATTGACCATAATTAAAGCATAGTGATTAATCACAAAAACAGTATGTAATTATATATGTGTTTTCCGATGGTCTTAGGTGACCCCTGTGTCTTTCGACCCCCAAAGGGGTTGCGACCCACAGGTTGAGAACCACTGCTCTAGACACATAATACAGAAAATGAACATACAGCACTTTAAATACCATGTGCCAGGCAAGATGTGACTTTCCTCTTATCAGGGTTTCTCGATCATGGCACTATTGACTGTTTGACTGAATAATTCTTTATGAACTGTCCTCTGTATTGATGGCAAGGTGTTTAATAGCATCCTTTGCTTCTACACACTAGGTGCCAATTGTACCTCCTAGTTGTGACAATGGAAAATGTCTCCAGACATTACCAAATGTCCCCGGAGGAAGGAGGACAGCAATAATTACCTCAGTTGAGAACCACTGCCCTATATTGTCATTTTTCAAAGACAAAATGTACACTTTCACAGAAATTACATGTATTATAGTTTATGGTTCCAAAGTCACTAGTATTACATCTATAATACCTATATCTACAGACATGGAAATAGATACTATCAGCAGACTTAGTTAATGTGATTAATCCTATTGTTCATTCATCTTTAGTAAGTCATACTAAATTATATCCAGTTCACTTTGCATTTAAACACTGCATTAATAGTGTCAGCAATATGGAGACACAAATAAATTAAACTTTGACCAAAGAGAAGATTGTATTAAATTATGAACAAGTGTTAAACACTCTGAGACTTGTTGTTTTCAGCAGAAAAACTTGTCACTTTAACCATCAAATTGTGAAACTATAAGATTTTACTTAAGAAAACACAAGAATCTATAATTTTCTATACACTTCTAAGACAATAAAATATGCATACTGTGGACAAAAAAGGGATACTGTAATAAATCTAATGGAAAATAACCTCAGGATGCTCTGATTATAAATTCTTAACTGAGCAGGTCATGGTAGGTAGCCATGCTCCAGACTTTAACTTCTTTAGTAAAAGGTTTATCTTTGCTCCAAGCGAGCTCTGCCCATTGTTTTTGTACATCTAGGTTAACGCACCTTTGAAATGCCTATTTTTTAGACCCCTGGAAGAGAGCACACAATCTTGTTAATTATTCCGTAATCCCTGCCTTGCTTTCTCCCACCTTCATGTAATCTTCCTTGCCGCTCTTTCCTTAATTCCAAATGCAAAAAAGAAACCGCAAACTGTCCTGGGAAGCATTGTTCTATCTATAGAGATCTTGCTTCCAGGCATATGTTCGGTTCAAATTAAACTCTAATAAACTCTTACAAAATTTTTCTACAGATTTAAATGTTCTCTGTCAATAATACCAATTTGCACACAGAGGATAAAAGTATAATTTTACACTAAAATGACATGACTAAAAAAACTAACTCAAGTATTTCAACTGGCAAAAGAAATTATATATACAAGGTAATTTCAAAAGATGATTATTTTCTGTACCCAGGGATTGGGTTAAAAAGCAGAAGCAACTTTATACTCTAAAACATGACAGAGACTTACTTTATCAAAATAACATCTCAGTTATAAAATTTAATAGAATGGGGAAAATTTGATTTAAAGGACACCATATGCTATTGCTAATTCTCTTTTAGAGAATAATCTCTTTAAAGTGGTAGCTTCTTACTAAAGCAAAAATAATGTTTATTTTGTTAGACGCATCTTGGATAAGTGAGTCAAAAAGGTTCTAGTAAGAGTTTCAGAGCTGGAATGCAATTATAAGTTGTTCAGCTTTCTCATTTATTCAGATAAGAAATCAAGGTGCAGAGAGTTAGTTCTACAATGATTATAAAATACATAACTATAAACCTATTTTAGGTTTAAAAATCTATATTCTGATAAATTAATTGAGCAATGTTTAAAATCTCTAATGCAGAGAATGAATGCTGCGAACCCTCTACTGTCACTATAATAAAAAAAATAGTTAATTTTTCATACAACAAATATTTACTGAACTTCTATTGTGTGCCAGGAACTGTTATAGACATATAACAAAAATTTATGTTTATTTGTTACTTTACAATTTTGAAATTACTTTCTTATACAAGAGCATTTGGCCTTCAAATAATCATCCTGAAGGAACCAGGTTAAATATTGTCATTTCCATATTACAGATGATGAAACAGAAGCGTAGAGGTTAAAAACAAGATTCTGGACAAGATTCTGGGTTGGTGCTTGAAACTAGACTTACTAGATTCAAATTTTGACTTTTCCACCTGCTCCCAGGCCTGTAACTGAGCCTCCCTGTGGCCTAGTTTCCTATGTGATGAATGGGGAGAATATGACCTATATCATAAGTGTCCTGAGGATAAAACAAGATAATATACATAAAGTTTTCAAAACAGTGCACATAGAAAACAGGTTTATCCTCATTATATCATTATTACTATTTGCCTATTGTTATAATACATTTCTAAGGCTTACCGTAATTTGGTATTTTCAAAATCTTTGATTTTTAACTCAGTGATTTCTTTTTGTCTCTCCAATTCTTGAGACACTTTTTTTAGTTTTATCAAAAGTGAAGCAAGAGAGTCATCTTGTTCTGCTACTGTCTGTTCCATCTCAGCCAAACGAATAAAATGCTTGTTGGTAGGAACTGGAGTAGGAGACTGTTTTAGTAAATCCTATGAAATGTGAATAAATTAGCTATAAACATGTATAATTCAATGCAATGCTTATTCCATAATTTTAATGTATTCCTCAAATAATCAAAAATAATATCTAATCTAAAATTTAATAAGCAATGAAAGCTTAAAGAAAACAGTTAATAGAGATCGGGTTCTTTGTATTCCCAGTATCTAGCGAAGTCCCTATATGTAGTGAAGTATCAAGAAATGTGGATTGAATTAATGAGTTAAGGTTCAAGTATGATAAGGTTTGCATATTAGGAGATGAAAGATCATTTCACACATACAGAAGACAAGATCAGCACCAAGTATAAGCTGAATTCAAAACATGAAAATCAGTTATAATGAGCAAAATTTGAAAACAAAAACAAAAACTGAGGTCAGATCATGGAAGGCTTTTAGTACATGGCTACAGAATTTAAACAAGATTTTATAAGCATCAGTCTAGGGAGAAGAATGATCAGAATTGTGTTTTCAGAAGATTATTCTGGCAAAAAATAAAAAATAGGGTGGCTTCTACTCCCTCACCCCCCAAAAAAAGAGAGCTAAATTTTCAAGTATACGATCTCAAAAATCTGTAAAGAATAGAACAAAGTTCTTAGACTCTTACCCAAGCTGTTTGTTTGAATTTATTGAGTGAACTATCAGCCTGTAGTTCTAATTTATGATGAAGAATATGAAGATCTTCTTCATGTTTCTTAACAATTTCTCTTTGCTCCTGTTTTATAGAAAATCAAAACTATATCTTAAATAGTGATTTAAATAAATTCACATTAGAATCTTAAATATCTGTTATCTTTAATCTTCCAAAATCCCTGAGACAGGGAAAGAACAATATCTGCATGCATATATTTACACCAGTATGCATTTTCACTAGTACACACTTCAAGGTGACAAGTCTGGCCTTAGATCATAATTTAATCTTAATATTAGAATAATATGTACCTATCATCTTTTAACTTATTTCTAGAAAAATTTTTTATGTTTTAAATGCAGATTTCCCCTGTCCACCACCACCAAAGTTCTAGCAAATCTGATTTCACTTATTACTACTAGTGAGACAGATTTCTAACTTTCTGACTTATAAACTCAACTGGTATTTTTCAATATCATAAACTCAGCTGGTATTTTTCATTATCATGGTTTCTCTGTGACAGCTATTCCTGATTTAGTCAATCCATATGGGAAAGATTCACATATATAAACTGCCAGTTTTTCTGACAGATCTGTAATCTAATCACATGAAAGTGATAATTCCTAAATAGAATCATTTGAAAGGCAAGAAATGCACTACCACTTCAGGGCAGAATAATATTTGCATTAGATAGATAGATAGGTAGGTAGATGGATAGATAGATAGATAGATAGATTGATTAAACAAACAAACAAACAAACAAATAAATAAATTACCTCTCTGGCTTTTTCCAGAAGACGCTGATACTTCTTTAACATGTCTTCCTTCTGATTCAGCCTTGCTTGCATGTTTGCAATAGTCTGCTGAGCAATTTTCAATGTGTGATAGAACTGTGGTTCTACCTCCTTTCTGCCTAGTTCAGCTATAAGCTTTTCTCGTTCTGCGGTGGCAGGTAAACGAAGCCTGAGTTCGTTGATTACTTTGTCTCTTGACAAAATATTTTGCTCTGCTAACCGTAAAGCAGATTCTTTTTCTTTTAGCTTCTGCAATGATCAAATCATATTATTAAAGTATATTTTTTCTTTTAAAATGTTTCATCTGAACTTTAAATTAGTTACAAGTTTAGAGAGGAGTTTCCCTTTATTTTTCACAACATACTTAAAACAGCCAAAAGATGTTAATAAAGTTAAACTGATATTTTTATGTGACAGCTAAGTTATCTGGATGCATATTTTATTTGTAAGACTATTGCATGTGTTAAGAAACAATTATTATGAAAATGAAATTTAAGGTACTTTATTTAGATGTTATAGTTTTAGAACTAGAAATGTGAGGTGGTGCTAAATTTGGAAAAAAACTGTAATAAATTGTTCCTCTTAAGCCCACTGACTATCAAAGCACTAGAAGAGTAATTCATACATCAGCTAGGTATAAAAATTGGAACTTTACTGGCTGAAGTCAATAAATCACTATTATAAAATCTGTGGTTTATGAAAACAAAATAGGGAAAAAAAAGTGTTGCCTATTCAAGAGGATTAAGGCAGATATTTTAAATGCAGTAACTCAATGAAAATTCACATAAATGATAAATCTTACAATTACTGAAGAAAATCTAAGTGTCCTCAATTGACTAAAAATATACAATTCTACTAGCAAAATTATGTTTAAATGTATTTACAATTAATAGATTTAGATGTAAACTAAGATGAAAATCATATTCAGTTTAAATTACTTTCCATATAATTAAATAAAGAAGATATTTGATCCTCTTAATCAAGTTGTAGGCCTAGATGAGTGGTTCTCAACCTTCCTAATGCCATGACCCTTTAAAACAGTTCCTCATGTTGTGGTGACCCCCAACCATAAAATTATTTTCGTTGCTACTTCATAACTGTAATTTTGCTACTATTATGAATTGTAATATAAATATCTGATATGCAGGATGTATTTTCATTGTTACAAATTGAACACAATTAAAGCATAGTAATTAATCACAAAAACAATATGTAATTATATATGTGTTTTCCGATGGTCTTAGGCGACCCCTATTAAAGGGTCGGTCGTTTGACCCCCAAAGGGGTCGCGACCCACAGGTTGAGAACCGCTGGCCTAGATTAAAGAAACAAGTACTAATTTCTAGCTCTCCTTCAAACCCTTTAACCACCCACAAAAGGAATTAACTGAAACTGATTCAGAGTATACAACATACACTTCAAATAAGCAAGGCTGAAAACAATTCTTGATCATACAAAAGAAGGTAATATATTGCTTATAAAACTACAATCAAATGTTCTTTTTGTTTCAATACAACTATTAGTGTGCCCCAAAGTAACAAGTAGTAATTAAATGAATAATTAATTCTAATTAGCCATATCTGTTTTTCTTTATTGCCTATTACAAGCATTATGGGAGAGTAGAAAAGGAGGGTAGAACTAGCAACAGATTCATCATTCTATACATCGACCTCATTAAAATATATTACGCATTTAAAAAATTCTACATACCCAATAATATACTAATCAAAATGCAAATTTTTCTAATTACCTCCTCTAGTGATTTACAAGTTGCCCGTGTTTCTAGAATTATTTGAACATTCTCCTTAATTTTTCTTAGAGCAATCTCAAGTTGATTTGGAAGGGGCAAGCTCGGGTCTGGCATTGATCCTATAACATCTTCAAACTATTAAAAATAGCATTAAAAAAAAACAACAGTTGTAGCATTGAAGGAAAGAACATTCATTTTTACAACTATATGACAAGACATGGTTAAAGCCCACTTATATTTGAAATATAAAAAGATAGCAAGTTAAAATTCCATCTCTGACATTAGAAAACATTACTATGGCTAACATTATAGGCCATGCTACAGAGTAGCAAATAGGATTAATCACTCAGACCTTTTGTGCTGCATTTAGTATTTCATTTTGCTGACGGTCAAAAATGTCTAGTTGACGTTCCAGCTCAACTTCTCTTTGATCCCAGGCCATTTCCCTTTCTTCATGAAACTGAAAAAAGATATTTTGCATCAGACATACATAGAAACACTCACCAAGCAAACAACAGAAATTTTTACATACATTTTCTTATTTAATTCTCACAACAACCCTTTGAGGTCACTACTATTATTTTATGGGGAAAGGAAGTAAACTCAAGAGAGGTAAAGTACCTTTCCATCAAAGAGATAGGCAGATATGGAGTCAGGATTTTAATCCATCCATGCATTCATCTATTCATCCATCTATCCACCTATCTATCCAAAATATATTTAATGACATGTACTATATGACAATCACTATTCTAGGCGATGCAAGCATAACAGTAAACAAAGCCAAGTCCCGCAGCCCCTCACCCCAGCTGGCCCTGCCCCTGATCGGCCTCTCCCACCCCCATGGAGGGCGGGGCGCTGGCCTCCCCCCCATGCCCCCTCCC